CACACACACACACACACACACACACACACACACACATTCACAATATCACAAGTTCGTGCTTGCCATACCCGCACCTTCGATCGGTGGGCACCAACCAACCCACCCGAAACTTCAGCGGTCTGCCCGCACCCTCGATTGAAGGCCGCCAACCAACCCACCCGAAACTTTGGCGGGCTTATTTCCAAGTGCCATTCACACCCACCCGCCCACCCCTCCGGGAAAAAAACCGCAGCCGCCAAAAACGAAAATTGAAAAACACCATTTCTACCACCGTCTACCAGACTTGAACATCACACTACGAAACGGAAAAAAAAAAAAAAAAAAAAAAAAGGAAAAACAGCACTTCGATTACCCCCCCAAACCCCCCCCCCACACAAAAAAACCCCCCCCCCCCCCCCCCCCCCCCGAAAAACAGCACTTCGACCGCCGCCCGCCGGACTCGAACTTCGCACTACGAAACAAAACAAAAAAAAAAAAAAACAGCTGTAAACAAGAAACCACGCCGGGCCCACGGTGCGCCGGGCCCGCGCGGGAAAAAGGTCTTCGCAGGACGCTTCACGCGAGTATAGAGATTATACATACATTGTTTGTTATTTTCAACAACCCTCTATCCTAGAACTCCAAACCAAAGATAAATATCTTTTTTCATCCTCATCTTCTGCACGATCTCCACTACAATGGCTGTGCTCCACAACTTCAGTACTAATATCCTGAACGACATCATTGCGGTCATTTAAACGACGTCATGAATCTTTCCGATGTCATTGTTTGAGTTTCAGAATGTGCAAGGTTAGCAGGGGGTTGAAACTGTGGCCGTTTTTTTGAATGGCATGAATGCAGATTTAGCAGCGGCTTTTTTTGCCCTCAGCCGTTTTGCGATTTTGTGATTTTGAGGGCCTAGTGTGAGTGTACTCTAAAGCTGCAGAAATACCGTTTTGGGAAGGTGTCTGCGCAGATTTACCCCGGTAGGTACCTCCTTTTGCAACAGAAGCCCCGTCGGCCTGGGGCCAAGTCCCACTGGCAGCATCGAGCTACCTCAACGCCTGAATCTGGACGCTTTTGCGGAGATGTGCAGAAATGGTGTTAAGTTTCCTGAACTGCACGTCTCCACAAACACGTCCAGATTCAGGCGTTGAGGTAGCTCAACGTTGCTAGTGGGACTTGGGCCCTTGACTGAGAGGCAACGGCTCCAAGGCTCACGGGTCCTCTGTTGCAAAAGGAGGTACCACGCGGTAGATTGGCCGCTGAAACGTCACGGACTGGTATTTCTGCTAAGGGCATCGCCACACCACTCTCGAAATGTGCAAAGTCCACCCTCCATAATTTTGTCGTTTTCACATTTTGCGGTTAAGATACGCCACAAAAAAGGACTGCGCTGCTCGCAAAAAGAAACGTGGCTTTTTTTTTTTTTTTTTTTTTNTTTTTTTTTTGGCCTTGAGGTATTATCACCGGACTAACCAGCCCAGGTAAATTCAATATTGTGCTGACATCGGGGGCTAGGTCCCACTTACACGAATTAAGCGATATTGACCGTAGATAGCAAAGATCAACGGCCAGAATCTCTTGATCCGTGCAAGTTGGACCTTGCCCCGGGTGGCCTTTTCAGCCCAGGGTGGCCTTGATTGCCTTCAGGGAACCCCCACTGGGGGACACCGGCCAGAAGACAGCAGAGGGACCGAGCATCATCTGAGTGGCCAGTCGCTGTGCCTCCCCGATTCCCCCTCCCCCTATGAACATCAGCAGACACTGCTTTTTAATGCCAATTGGGGGCACCAACGGGCTCTCTCTAGGTGGCGGGCGCCAAGCATGCCCAGGAAGGTACATCAGGCCAATGGGGATCGAACCCGAGACCTCCTGAATGCGACTTGCGTGCCTTACCAACTGAGCTAGGCCGGTGGATTAACGTGGCTGTTTTTTTTTTTTACCTGTCGAATCTGGACAGAACGGCCTTTCAGGCCTTTTTTATTGTCACTATACTACTATAGTACTACGGGGAACCCCGTAGCAGCCACATCCGTGCTCAAGCCTCCAACGAGGGAACATGCGGGGGCTGCACCCACCAGCAGGTGCGATACCTGCTACAGCAGGTGGGCGATACCGGCCAGGGGTCAGCCGGTAGCATCAGGACCGAGCTTCTGTCACAATACCTCGGCGTCCAAAAAAAATAAAAAAATAAAAAAAATCAACAACAACAAAAATACCTCGGCGGACCGGTGACGTTGGTACCACGCGGTTAGTTTGAATTAGTTTGAAAAACCTGTATGTCTGCAATTTTTTGCCCGTAATGGAAAGAAGGCGCGGAGGAGAAACACGCAAACAGAAGAAAGAAGGAAAGAAACAGGAAGGAAAATTTAAAGGAGAAGTAAACGATGCGAAATGAGGAGGTAGAAGAAAACGATGCGAACATGGGTGAGTCAGTTTTTTTCTTCGAATTGATAACGAATTTTGATGAAGGAAACATCATAACCAATAGCGTTATCGGTTTGAATTTTTTTTTCCCCCCGGGAAAATCGGTTTGAATTTCGAAACCTGAAAATACGATTTCTTCAAATTACCCCTATTTTTCAAATCTAGTTTCATCTGGCACCTGCTTCTTCACCTCTTCTCTTTACTTTTGCTGTTCCTTCGCTCTGCTCCTCTTCCTTCTCCTCTCCCTTCTCTTCCACTTAGAGGCTTCCTTGTTATGGAAAAAAAAAAAAAAAAAAAAAAAAAGGGGTTTTCGACAATTTTGCATGGCCGCAAAGACTTTCTTTCGAAGAATTGCGGCTCAAAAAATTTTCAACAGGGCCGAGGTCCCACTAGCGAAAAGGATAGGATCGAGCTCCTGAATCTGGATGTGTTTTAACTAGAGAGGCAGAAAAGCAGTTCAATCTCGATTTCCTGCATATCTCCATAAAGTCGTTCAGATTCAGGCATTCGATCCGATCTTCTTTGCTGGTGGGACCACGCCCCAGGTGTCAGAACGGTACGCTCGACAGCCGCCCTCCCCCATCCGATTCGTTTCCTTTTTTTTTTTTTTCCATTCGTTTCCTCCCGCCTGCCTGCCTTTCGAAGGAGGGAGGAAATTCGAAAGTGCCCCACCCACCTGCCTTTCGAGATTCGAGAATTGCGGTTTAAACTGTCGACGGCCGACTTTCGATTTTTTTTTCTGACGGCTGTCGAAATTCAAACAGCCTGTGCGGCGAGCCTCTTAGGGCCTCGCAACACCACTCTCGAAATGTGAAAAAGACAAAAATGTGGCGGGTGCATCTGGCCATGTTCGAGCGGGAAGTTCATTCTCATTTTGCAGATTTCGAGAGTGGTGCGGCGATGCCCTTACACGTTCCGTCACGTTCTTGCCTTCTCACTCTGTCATTCTCACAAACGCCCCCCAACGCCACCTGTGTATATTCAGCAAAATCGAAAGTATGTTTCCATGCTCTAACGGTAGATTCATTCGATTTTGCTCATGCTTGAGCCAAAGGAAAGAAAGGAGAAGAGAATTTCAAAGAGAAAGGAGGAGCAGTGCGCGACGAGAATGTAGAGAGAGGAGGACAAGGAAGAGGCAGATTGAAACAATACCGGCCCAAAAAAAACACACAAAAAAAAGAAACAATATACCCGCGGACATCTCAGAGAGAGATAAATGTCTAGAAATTTGTAATTAGCGGCTGAAAAACTCCGCACAAAAAAAAACAAACAAAAAACAAAAAAACAAACAAACGCCAACGCTCATTTCGTAAACCGACAAAGTTATCAGTCATAATAAAATTTTCTGTTCCTTTTTTTATTTAAAAAAAAATAAATGCTGTGGACATTTTTGAACCGACAACGTTATTGGTTTGTAAATCGGATGCACCACTTTTTCATCACTGCTCCCGTCCCGTCGTTTCCATCAGATGTCCTCTTCTCCCCTGATCTCTCAATTTCCCTTTTCCTTCCACTTTCTCTCCTACTGCAGAATCTTCAGGTCGCTCCGCGTCCTCCTTCTCTCCCTTCTCCTTCGCTTGCACATTCCAAAATTTCTGTTCTTTGTTTTTCACATGATTATGTCCCACTCGTCGTTATGCTTCGCAGAGGAATGATTAAGTACCCGATGTCGACTATATAGTATATAGTGAGTGTTCAATATCCATACGTGATGCCGAAGGCTAAGGAATGAAAGGACAAGGGGAAGGGAAAGGAGGAGGAGGAGAGGAGGAAGAGCAAACAAAGAGGAGAGAGGAAAGACGATAGGAAGGAAGGGAGGAGGAGGAGGAGGAGGAGGAAAGGGAGGAGGAGGAAAAGGAGGAGGAAAAGGAGGAAAATGAAAAAGATACTAATGGAGGTGGAAAAAGAAAAGAAAAAACAAGTTCTCTGTATGAAATATAAGCGCACAGTTTTCAACCCCGTTCGAGTCGTTTCCATCTGACTGCTCCTCCTCTTCTGCTGTTCTCCTTCCACTTCTGTAATTCCCTTTTTAATGCTCACCATTCCATTAAGAGAAGATAGTGGCCCCAAGATTACTATCCTACTGGGATGATCTCTCTCTGTGCTCTCCCTCTCTCCATCTGCTCCTCCCTCGCCCTTATCGTTCTCTTGCTATTCTCCCCTCACCATCCCTCTCTCTCTCTTGCTTCAGGGTGTGCCTCCGGTCATTAGTGACATCCAAGTGACCTTTGTCACTCCCTTTACTCCTCCTCCCCTTCTCTCTCTCTCTCTCTCTCTCTCTCTCTCTCTCTCTCTCTCTCTCTCTCTCTCTCTCTCTCCCTGTGTGTGTGTGTGTGTGTGTGTGTGTGTGTGTGTGTGTGTGTGTGTGTCAGACACACACGTCGTGTAAACGCGAGGACGCTTGTGGGCACAGCACATGCATGGGCAACCACACGCAGGGGGAGGAAGAGATGGAGGTAAAAGCGCATTAATATAGATTTGCCGTCGGACCCGAAGTCTTGGAAGGTAGACAGAAAGGATGAACGTGGGGACGAGCACAACGAAGGGAAGGTGGACAGAAAGAATGAAACCGGGGACAAGCACAATGAAAGAGGAAGAGAGGATCTAGAAGCAGTCAGTCTGACGGGAAACACCGTCACAGTGCCCAATGGCATGCCCTCTCCCCTTCCATTCGTGCCTTCCAGAAGATCTCGGTCGTTCCTAGGGCCTACTACCGTCTTCCCCCGAACATAACGCACCCTGAAAATGAACGTATACAAGGTATGTTTCCGGCCTGATACAGGCAAAATGGGGGTGCGTTGTGTTCGGGGGAAGACGGTAGTAGACGAAATTGCTGCATTTCGTTTCACAGTGTTCACACTGCAACCACATGTCGGGGGCATACGGTTTGCTGCACTTATGTGGCGGTGTCGATCGAGTTGACAAGACCCTGGTACTAGCCCAAGGGTGGTTGTGTGCCGTATTACTCAGTTACTATCAGAAAGTGTCGAAGAGAGAGAGAGAGAGAGAGAGAGAGAGAGAGAGAGAGAGAGAGAGAGAGAGAGAGAGAGAGAGAGAGAGAGAGAGAGAGAGAGAGTTGGTTGAGTTCACAAGAGTCACAAGACCGCCCAGAGAGAGAGAGTTGGTTGAGTTCACAAGAGTCACAAGACCCACTTACGTGGCGGTGTCGATTGAGTTCTCAAGAGCCACGTACTTGAAGTACTTAAGTGACAGACAGTGTTGGCTGAAGCAAAATTTGATGAGGTCCTGGAGTGCCCTGCGAACGACCGACTCACAGCCATGCAAACAGATGAACGTCCTTGCTTTTCTCAAGAAGTAGTTGCTTTCGTTAAATTCGTTTTCCTTTCGCTTTTTTTGTTTGTTTGTTCCGGTCCGATGGACCCCACTACTACAGTCTTCCCCCGAATACAACGTACGGTCATTATAGCCGAATTTAGACTGAAAGGTACACCAAATTCAGATATAATAACAGTACGTTGTATTCGGGGGAAGACTGTAGTAGGATAAGATATTGAACGGATGAGTGAGAACAGATATTGTACACTTTATCTATTTTTACTCAAAAGGCCGACAAAGGGTTTTCTTGTTCTTTTTGTTACTGAGTGAATGGGCCTCGCTGCACTACTCTTGACATGGAATTGCGCAAAAGACAAAAATCATCGCCGTGTATCTTTCCATAGCGGAAGATTCACTCTCGTTTTGCACATTTCCAGAGTAGTGCAGCGAGGACCAATATTTCGTTAACTTTGTATTTCTGGCAGAGAGCTTGGACGTGGAACGAGGATTGTTACTACAGTCTTTCTTACCCCGAATACAACGTACGGTCATTATAGCTGAATTTGGTGTATCTTTCGGTCGAAATTCACCTATTATAATGACCGTACGTTGAAATTCAGCGATAATGACAGTACGTTGAAATTCGGCTGTAATGACCGTACGTTGTATTCGGGGGACGACTGCAGTATTAAGTACTCCTTTGGGCATTGGACTTGGACGTTCCTGGCCATGATCTCGGCGTTTTCTGAACAGAAATCGTCGGGTCCTGCTGGCGTTTTGGAACCGGGACAATTTCGGTTTCGGGGAACGCCGAAATTGCGGCCAGGAACGTCGAAGGTAAATGGCCTTTGACGTACCTGGCCATGATTTCGGCGTTTTCTGAACAGAAGTCGTCGGGTCCTGCTGGCGTTTTTGGAACCGGGACAATTTCGGTTCGGGGAACGCCGAAATTGCGGCCAGCAACGTCAACAGTAAATGCCCAATGGAGTAATAATAGCCTAAGGGCATCGCCACACGACTCTCGAAATGTGCAAAACGAGAACGAAATTCCTGCTACAACATGGCCGGATGCGGCCGCCACATTTTAAATTAAATTTCTTGTTTTTGACATTTCGAGAGTGGTGCGGCGAGGCCCATAATATAATAACATATAACATATAACATATATAACATATAACATCTAACATATAACATGTACAACAAACCGTAATAATGTCCCCATAAAAAAAAAAAGGAAAAAAAAGAGAAAGAAGAAAGAAAAAAGAAAAGAAAAGGTCCCCGAGATGTCGTCCGGTCCTGAGCAAGCATCCAGAACTCCCTTCCCTGGTGAGACAGAGGGTCTCGCCGCACGGCACACACGAAACGAATTTAAAACAAAACGAGCGCATCTGGCCACGAAAGGTGGCAAAATACACTCGTTACTATTTATAGCAAACCGATGAGCCTGGCCATTTTCTGACGGAAGATGCACACTCGTTTCGTTTTTCGTGTCGGTTGCCGTGCGGCGACGCCCAGAGTGCAACGAGAGGCCAAGTTACCGACGTGGAGAACGATGAAAAAAAAAAAAAAAAGAAAAAAAAAAAGACAAGTGATGTTGGGGCCTGTGACAGTCGGGACTTTTTTGGGGACAAATGAATACAAAGGCTTTGTCGCGGGGGGGGAGGGGGAGAGGTGGGGGGGCGGGGGGGTGTGGACGGAATTATATAACTTTTCCCAAGTTAAATGTGCCTGAAGAGGTTAAAAAAAAAAAGAAAAAAAAAAAGGGGTATGTCGTTCGTGATGATGGTGCTTCGGTTGTTCTCATTGCTGGTCCGTGCCGTGGCCTTTCTTTTTTTTTTTTTTTCCTTTTTTTTCATGCTCCCATTTCAAGCTTTGCAGGGAAAACTCTCTGTGCTGCGGGTATAAGTATGAGGCCTGACCGGAGATCCCAATGCGGAGGTGGGAGAAGGGTAGTCTAAGAGTGAAGCCATGTCGCAGCAAACGGATACGCTCACGCAGGGGGATGATGAAGGCTTGACCGCAGATCCCCATGCAGATCCCCATGCGGAGGTGGGAGCGATGGAGAACAAGCAATTCCATGCAGAAGGCCCTCAGGCTGGTGAGACTGATTGCGACGGGAGAGTAGGGGCCGCTGTGGCGGAGAACGATGAGCTAGAGGAGGGGATGATGACAGCTGGAGTCCGATTTGAGAACCTTATTCAAGGTCAGATCAGAAGCAGATGTAGCACCAGATTGCTATGTATGTATGTATGTATGGGTGGTTGGCTTATACAGTAAATCGCCTTAAATGGGGTAACCAGGGGGGGGGAGTCAAAAAAACGAGTTGTAATTGCACTTTTTTCTTTTTTTTCTTTTTTTTTTCCTTTTTTTTTCTTTTTTTTTCTTTTTTTTCCCCTTTTTTGTTTTAGTTGTAATTGCACTAACATGGGGCAAGATACAATTTGCAACTTGAATTACACTTCGGGCACCCTATCTTCTCGTCACAAAAGCTGGGTTATATACATTGCCCCAAGTGCAATTGCAAAACGTATCTTGGCCCATAGTGCAGTTATAACTCGGTTTTTCTGTGACTCCCAAGTAGTTTTCCCATAATATTAGGGGGGGTATAAATATACAATGTCGTTGTGGCGATGGGTGTGCAATGGTTTTTTTTTTTTTTTTTTTTTTTTTTTCCCGATGGACCACGGACCAGATATTAAACTGATCAGAACAGATACTACACTTGATCTTATATTATGATCAAGACAGACGCCACGCTGTTGTATACTGACGTGTTAACGTTTTAAGGACAAAAATCTTGAAGTTAAACATTCTAACAAAATTATCATATAATAGTAGGAACGGAGTCTCTTTTGCATGATTGGAAATGATCTGCCTTGTATTTTGAGCGCCATGCTGAAAATTGTAAGTACTATGAGATGGAAAGGAGGGGGGAGTACTACCGTGTGGGTTCTCGTTGGTTATCTCTACTTTGACTTTGACAGTGCTGTATATGGTCAATATAATGGTGAATATGCATCACAGACTCATAAATTATTACTAATTAATTAGTACTTATAAGTTATTACTCTATGTTTAATTGTGGGGGGGTGCAAGGTGGTTAATTGGTAATCGTTGAGAATCTGAGATGAACATTGCAGGGTTGGGTGATGATGGCACATGAAGCAAAATCAAAGAGGAAAAGACCCAGACTTGGTGACTTCGGCTCTTGTACTCCTTTTTTTTTTTTTTTTTTTTTKKKGGGGRGGGGGGGGGGGGGGRGGGAATTGTTGAAATGCCCCTAAAAATTTGGGTATTTCGTTAGATACCCCTGCAGCACAGGGTTGTGCTGAAATCCCCCAAACTTCTGCATCTGCCCCTGTTACGGTGATTGGCAACTTCGCCATATGCCCTGCCCCTGGGCTGCAGGGGGCCGTGCATTTCTTTTGCAATCTGCAGGGTCCAAAGGCCTACCTAAAATACCGGGGTATATAGACAAGTTGTCCAGGGGTCGGTAGGGGTATTATGGGCTATAAATCCCCTGGCCACACGGCGGCCGTGGTGGCCAGTAGAGGGGGGAGGGGGCTGGTTGGGTTTGCAGAACCCCATCTCCGCCCGCTAGCACAATTTTTGTTTTTCTTTTAAACAAGTTTCTGCGGGAGGGGGGAGTTGTTGGTGAAAGTGAATTTTCAAAAAAGAAAAAAAATATCTTGATTGATTGACTGATTGATTGATTGATTGATTGATTGGTGGGGGAGAGGTTGCCCCCCACACACGTACACACACATGCACTCAGGCACCTTTTCTTTTTTACATTTGTTCGATTGATTGATTGATTGATTGATTGATTGATTGATTGGGATGGTTGATTGATTGATTGGCGGGGGAGGGGTTGGCCCCCACACACGCACACACACATGCACTCACGCACCTTTTCTATTTTACATTTGTTTCGCTAGAACATGGAAAAATACAGCGCCATGATTTTTGTCTTTTGTGCAGCGGGGATACAGGGGCCCAACGGGATACACGGGCTGACAACAACGCAGAGGCCCTAGGGGACCCAGTTTCTTTTCTTTTTGTTTTCTCTTTTGTTTTTCCTTCTCAGATTTTCCGACCTATGCGTGCCATCCTTGGGGCCTCGTGGCGGTGCATCTTTCCATGTTCTAGCGGAAGATTCACTCTCGTTTTGCACATTTCGAGAGTAGTAGTGGAGCCCCCCTCGCTCCACTACTCTCGAAATGTGCAAAACGAGAGTGAATCTTCCGCTAGAACATGGAAAGATACAGCGCCATGATTTCTGTCTTTTGTGCATGTCAAGAATGGTGGAGCAAGGCCCTCTGCTCTTTTTTTT